CGCCCGTACCGGATCGGGACCGGCAACGGGATCGCAACCCTCGGTGCTGTGCCCGCCCCTCGCTCAGCCCGTGAGAGGGAACCGGTCTGTATGTGGGATCTGAACCCTCGGCGGGAGCCCCGCCGTGCTTCCCAAGCGGCGCACTGTAGCAGTGCGCCACCGGGCCGGCCCAGATATCAGTTTTTTCTGAAGTCAGGATCACAGTTGTAGATGTTGCAAGCAGAGGTGGATTTGTGGTAGTTAATCCTGGAGGGGGGTAAGGAATCAAGTTTCAACTAGGAGGGGAAAACCAAGGATGGGAAATACCAATATTAAGTGATGGGCAGAAACAGCCAAGGAGACCAAGGAGGAGCATTCAGGAAAGAAAAGGAAAACTAGGAGGCAGTAGTGTTGTGGAAGCCAGGGGAGGAGACTTTTAATGAGGAGGAAAGTGTATCTGGGAGTTAAATGAGTCAGAGGAAACAGGAGGTTGGAAACTGATTAAGTGCCTATTGGCTTTGGTAGTTAGGAGGGGTCATTGTCCTTAGCAAACATAATTTAGGTAAAATGGTAAGGGTAGAAGCCAAATTTGGATGAATTTGAGGTGTGAATAGAGGACGAAGAAGTAATAGTGTAGAATCCTTATTTTGAGAAAGAAAGATTAGGAGAGGCAACAGGGTGGTAGAGGGGCATTGATAAGAGAGGTTGGAAAGAATATAAGAAATATAGAATGGCCTTATGTTAAAGTGCATCATCTCATAGCATTTTTTCTCTTATGGTTAAGTAGCAGAAGCTGAGAGCAAGTAGTTGAGCATATTGAATAGAACTATTCATAATAAAATAGTTCATCTCCCTCCCATTCAAATTACGAGGACTGTCTTAGTGGTACTTTGATGTATTGGGTTCAGGTATTGTTATCAGTGTTTAAGTCACAAGTGTAAACTGTGTTGGGCTGTATGTCACCTGAGTTCCAGTACTTTGATACTCCCAACTTGCTTTTAAGTTATGTGATTTTTTCTTGTATTTTTCAATGATTCTTCTAAAAATCTTACGTAGAAATCAGATGTTTGAACTAAATCAGAATCCATGAGGCATACAGCAGGGCCTTTGCTGCTATTACTATTATGTGTTTTAGAGAAAATGCTCTTACATTAAAATTTCTGTAGTAAGTTTCACTTCAATCTTCATTGAAAGTTTGATTTTTTTTTGTTGTTGTTCTAGAGTTCAGATAAGTAGTTTAATGAATATTTCTCTTAGTGATATGAAAATAATTAAAATGGAAGAGTCTAACCACCAAGTGTTGATGAGGATGGGGAACAACTGGAACTCTCATACTCTGCTGGTGGAATTGTAAATTGGTGCAGTCATTTTAGAAAACTCTTTGGCAGTATCTACTAAAGGGAAACATATGCTAAACTGTGCCCGGACATATACCCAACAAAACTCCTGAAAATGTAAACTAATCTAATGTGACAGATGACACATCAGCGGTTACTTGGGAATGGGGCAAGGGAAAGTAAGGAGGAATGGATTAAAAAGGGGCAAGAGGAAACTTTTGGGGATGATAGATATATTCATTTCCTTGATTGGGATGATGCTGTCACTAATGTATACATATGTCTGATTCATTTATTTGTACATTTTAATTATTTGCAATTTATTATAGGTCAATTATACCTCAGATTAAATAAAAATAGAATGGAAGAAAGCACATCATTTCAGTACATTTACCTTCTTTAAAAACTGGAATTACCTCAGGGTGATGGGATTGTAGACAATTTTTATTTTCTTCATATATTTTTCTGTATTTTTCATATTTACTACAACCATGTATATACTTAACTATTAAATGACAATCTGGTGGGTAAGAAATGGTATTTCATTGGGGATTTAGTGTACATTTCCTCATTTACTGATGATGTTTAACCTTTCATAGTTCTTCTACGGGGTGTCTACTTATGTCTTTTACCTATGTTTTGTGACTTAAATCGGTTTCTACAAGTTCTTTATGTATTCTGGATACTAATCCCTTGTCAGTTGTGCATGTGGAACATATTTTTTTCTCAGTGAGCAGCTTGTCTTTTTATTTTTTGCATAGTGTCTTTTGATGAAAGCATTCTATAGTTTAATGTAGTGGACTATGTCAGTCTTTTCCTTTATGGTTTGGGCTTTTGAATCCCTTGTCAGTTGTGCATGTGGAACATATTTTTTTCTCAGTGAGCAGCTTGTCTTTTTACTTTTTGCATAGTGTCTTTTGATGAAAGCATTCTATAGTTTAATGTAGTGGACTATGTCAGTCTTTTCCTTTATGGTTTGGGCTTTTAGCGTCTTGTTGAACAAACCTTTCTCTTTCCTGAGATCATAAAAATATAGTCTGATGTTTTCTATTAAAAGCTTTAAAATGTTGTCTTTCCAGGGGTTATGTGGAAAACCTCTGTACTTTCTCAATTTTTCTGTGAACCTGCAACTGCCCTAAAATAAAGTCCATTAAAAAAATGTTGCCTTTCATATTTATGTCATTAATCCATATAGAATTGATTTTTGTGTGGTATGAAATGGGGTCCAATTTTTTTTTCCATATGGGTAATCAGTTTTCCCAGCATCATTTACTGAATATTCTATTTTTCATTCCAGTGATCTTTAAGTATCATATGGCAAGTTTTTATATATCTGTGGATATGTTTCAAGGCTATTCTTTATTTGTTCTGTTTAAGTGTCCTCGTTACAGTCTTATTTACTCTAGCTGTATAAAGAACCTTGATACCTGAGACAAGTCACCCACCCATGTTTCTTTTAAAACTAGACTCCTCAATTGTTTTTTTTTTCTTTTTAAAAAATAAACTTTTACGTGGATGATAATGTGTTATTTAATTTTAAATTATCTACTGTAATCACCTGAAGTCACAATAATACTGAAGTTACTCTAATGTAGACTATATCAGGCTATCTTTAGATTTTGTAAATCCTGTCCTAACTCACTAAAGTTAATTTTAACTGGAAAAGTAAATACAGGATTTTCATTTTGGTAGTATGTAAATTGAGGTATTTGGAACAACCTTTACACTGAAACAGTGTATTTAAAAATGCTGTATTTAAAAAAAACAATTCAAAAAGATAGGAATTAACATGCCAAATCTGAGAAATCTGAAAGTATGAGAGTCTGAAGAAGCTCTTAAGTCTTATTTGCCCTGAAGGTATTTGCTAAACTGGGGGGAACTTAATGGATTTGAGTAGGAACTTGGATTTGCAGTATGGGAGGAAGAGTTGGAAGTCAGCCCAGTACTCACTCAAGGTAAGCTAACAAGAGACTTTCTGTCCCTAATTCTGGGATCCCAAATGGCTGTGATGTCATGAAGAGGGTGAAAACTCACCCAACCTCCTTCAAAGGACTGCAAGGAAAGTTGCCATGATACCAAAACACCAAACAGACCATGGGAAGAAGTTCATATCATCTTGGTGGTCTAATTTTAAAAATTTGGTTGTGAATTAAAAAAAATTTTTTTGAGATATAATTCACACACCATAAAATTCACCCCTTTAAAGTGTAGAGTTCAGTGGTTTTTCATATATTCACAAAGTTGTACAACCATTATCACTATCTATTTCAAGAATTTTTTTTCACCCCCCAAAAGAAACCTTGTACCCATTGGCAGTCATTCCTCATTCCCCTCTTCCCTCCCATCCCCTAGCAACCACTAATCTACTTTCTATTTCTATGGATTTCCTCATTCTGGACATTTCATATGAATGGAATCATACAATATGTGGTATTTTGTGTCTTGCTTCTTTCACTTAGCATAATATTTTCAAGGTTTATCCATGTTGTAGCATGAATCAGTACTTCACTCCTTTTTATGGTTGAATAAATATTCCACCAT